AGCTACTCAGGTGATTCCAAGGCAGCCTGTGCACCATTAGAGAGAGCCCAACATTTGGGACCTTCTGGTCTGGCCCAGTACCCTTACTTTGCAAACAAGGAAAGGCAAGCCCAAATAAAAATGTTCTAATCCAGAAATCCCATGTTTTAGCTCCCAACATGTCCATCTTCCCAAGAAGTCACAGTACCCCTGAGAGTGACCACAATTCAGATCTTAGGCCATTTGTTTTCCTCAGAAGACAAGCCTTAACACCTGAGGCTTTGGGATGTATATCTTGTAGTCTCCCTGGAGGGTTCCTAACTTCATTCTAGGCTCTTTTCACTGCTTCAATACAGTGCTTTCAAGGTGGACTCACTTAATTGCACTAAAGCTACTAGATCATTCTTCTCTGTCCTGTTCTGTCATTCAGTTTTTATGACATCTTTAGTTATTGTCTATAGTTGGAAGCTTAGATTCCCTTTCATCATCTACTCATAAATACAAATAGGTGAGAAAAGTGAAAACAGGTATTGTGCAGTATGGGAAATCCTATTTGTAAGGCATCATCAGCTAAGGGCTATGTATTAGCTATCTACTAGCTCTGAACCAAAATATCCAGCTTTCCTACAATTCGGAAGAGTAAAATGAATTTTGCTTTGTAGGTTTCCTGTATGTATCTGTCCATTTATTCTTTCACAGGCTGATCTAGACATAGAATACAGTGTGAATAAGAAAAAAATTTCCCTACTGTCACAGAGCTTCAGTTCTAGAGGAACATTTATGTGAAACCTCTCTAAAATAATAGTCTCAGCCTGCTACAGCTCCCTGAGGACAGAGCTTCATCTGTTCTGTTTATGACTGTGCCTCTAGTGCCTAAGTAGCACTTGACTTATAGTAGGTGCTCAATGAATATTTGTTAAATGAGTAAACCACCATTAGGTGTCATAGAAACTATCACCCCTCTCAAATTAAATGTTTAAAAATAACAATAATAGATGGTATTGGCCTGGGGTTGTAGCTCAGTGGTAGAGCACTTGCATTGATATATGAGGCCCTGAGTTTGATCCCCAGCACTAAAAAAACAGAAAAACAAAAAAAGTAGTGTTTAATGAGAAATTCTACTTATGTAGAGAACTAGAGTATTTGTACTTGTTTCTGACTTGCTATATTTTTGTAAGCTTTAAGCTTTTTATGGAAAATATTTATGTATAACCATGTCTAGTCCCAGGAGTGTATATGGTATATATAGATACTATACCCACATATCAGCTGAAAACATATATGTATATGTATAAATGTTTAAATATCTACCATGTTTGTTTTCTAAAATAAATGATACTTTTATGTACAACCTGAAGCAATCAAGCAAGGTTGAAATGGTTTCATAGTACTAGACTGTTGTGATAAAAAGGACATTCGGGCAGGCTGCATATTAATAGTTGTAGTCTGTTTAGGTAATGACCATGGTAATCAATCATGCTGTCATTCTATATAGGCTTCTACTCTTTCAAGCTTTCAAAACATTTCAGAGCCAAAGCTGTGAAAGTGTAGATTATATACATGGTATTTCTCTGCCACCATCCACAGTACATTTCTATCAGGTGAAACTGTAGGGACCAAGCTAGGAATACAAAGTAAAATGAGGTTTTGGGGTTTGAAAATAGCTTGTGGTCCCCAAATTTAAAGACCCAATTCAAAAATGGGGATCTGAAATGAACAGATACTTATCAGTTGAAGAATTAGAAATGGCAAATAAATATATGAAAAAATGTTCAACATCACTGGTCATCTGAGAGATGAAAATCAAAACAACAGAGATTCCATCTCACTCCAGAAGGACTGGCTGCTATTAAGAAATCAACCAATAACAAATGCTGGGGTGTGGGGAAAAAGGAACCCTTCTCCGCTGTTGGTGGGAGTGTAGACCAGTGCAACTACTGTGGAAATCAATGTGGAGATTCCTCAAAAAACTAAAACTAGGGCCGGGAATTTAGCTCAGTGGTTCCGCCGCCTGCCTTGAAAGCTCAAGGATCTGAGTTCAATCCCTGGTACAAAAGAGAAAAAAAAACTAAAACTAGAGGGCCTGGGGATTTAGCTCAGTGGCACCACTACTGCCTTGCAAGCGCAAGGTCCTAAGTTTGATCCTCAGTATCTCAAAAGAAAAAAAAAACAAAAAACTAAAACTAGAGGTTTCAATCCCTTGTTGGTATCTTCTCGAAAGAATTTAAAGCATCATACCACAGTAAATATATGCACACCCATGTTTATGGTGGCATAGTTTGTAATAACTAAATCTTGGAAACAGCTCAAATGCCTGTCAATCAACAAGTGGATAAAGAAGATGTGGGTTTTTTATACAGTGGAGTACTACTCTGCCATAAAGAAGGATAAGCTTCAAACATTTATACCTAAATGGATGTGTCTTGAGACCATCCTCTTAAGTGAAATAAATCAGACACAAATGTTTTACATTGTTTCTCTGGTGTGAGAAACCAAAAATGGAAATAAGGACTAAAATGTATAATAAATATTGGAAAATGGAAAGAAAATGTTCAAATGGGAGGGGGAACAAGGTAGGAGAGAAGGAGAAAGGAAGGAAGGGACAAGAAAATAAGTGAAAATAGAAGGAAAAAATTGAAACAAAATTTGTACATAGGGAGGAGAGGGAGTGTAAGAGAAGGGAAATGGGATAAAATAAAATTTATTTTTAAGAAAAAGAAAATATCGGGCCAGGGGATTTAGCTCAGTGATTTCGCCGCCTCCTCTGCAAGTGCAAGGACCCAAGTTCAATCCCCGGGACCAAAAAAAAAAAAAGAAAATACCTTGTGATTAGGCATAAGTACACAAGAATGCCACAATTTTCTAGGATAGTTTATAAACAAAATATGTTTCAGGAGTGTTGGTGCACACGTGTAACCCTAATACTCTGGGAGGCTGTGGCAGGAAGATTGAAAGTTCAAGCCCACCCTAGTCAATTTAGTAAGACCCTATCTCAAAAAAAAAAAAAAAAGACTGGAAACACAGCTCAATGTGAAGACCTGAGTAGCACAGGGTAGGGGTGGGAGGTGTATGTAATGGGAAAAATGGTTTTACAAGAATTTGTGACAGGGCTATTCTAGATGCCTTTATCTGTAAGCAGCATTATATTCATTCATCTTACCTGAAGAAACTGCTACTACATTTTTTTAGACAAACTGGGAAGTGCCTCAATACATCCAAAAGGAAAAGCCCTCCCTAAGTTATTATAAATTATATAGTTTCTCCACAGTTTACCTTGCAATCCTAAGATGCAAAAATTCTTCAGCTTGCCAACTTTCAACAAATGCTATCTGCAACACTTTTAACACCACCTGTGTATTAAACACTGAAAGATGACAATACTGAGAACAAACATCAAAATTGGTGGTGAGGAAATGGCAAGTGTGTTTTGGGGATGAGCCGTGTGATGGTTGGGCCAATTCTGTGGGGTCCCAGTTTGTGCATCGTTTAGCAGTCGCTGTGCCTGAGCACATGGTCATCAGCAAGAGACAGGAAACGGACAGACAGCGGGAAAAGTGAGAAGCTCGCAGCATCAGCTTTAATGCCACATGTCCTCTAACCCAAAATGAATTCAAGATCCAGCTGAGAGTTGGAGAACTGAGAGTTGGAGAACTTCAATTCTCCAACTGTTGTGAAATTGCTACCAATTCTGTTGTGAAAGTGCTACTGCTGAGATGTGATTGTAGCTGGGCATGGTGACACACACCTGTAACCCCAGCACTTGGGAAGCTGAGGCAGGAGGATCACCTCGAGTTCAAGGCCAGTCTGGGCTACATAGTGAGTTCAAGACCAACCTAAATGACATAGCAAAGTCTTGTCTCCAAAAAAAAAAAAAGAAATCTGGTTGTAAGCCACCCAAGGGTTATTCATAGGATCACAGCCAGTGTATAGTGTTTGCACAGTGTCAAAGTGAGTGAGTCATAAGCAAATCCCAGTCCAGCAGAAGCTACTGTGGGAAGAAAGGATTTTCAGTGTAGACAAAACTTTTATTTTGAAAGAAGATACCTAAAAATATCTGAGCAGAGAGAAGAATAGTCTGGTTTTTAAACTTCTGCAAGAAGAGACTCATATTCCTATTTGTGGCAGGGAACCATTACGCAAGCTGCCTCTGGGGAACCTGTTTGTATTCCTGTTTGTACAATGTATCTCAGTATTAAGTGCATACTCTGCTTAGTCCGCTAGAAATCCTAGATCCAAAAAAACAATGAAGAGCAGACTATAGAGCCTGAGTTCTTTTCTGATAGTATATTGGTTCCAAATATTTTGCTTCATTAGAAACAAGCTAAGTGCAATCCCTAGCACTGCAAAAAAAAAAAAAGGATTCAAGTCATAATTTTACAGTGGTTTGTGGTGGTACCAATAGCTGTGCCTGAGAAGTGGCCTGTTACAAGTTTTTTATTATGAAAAAAGAAAAATTATGCAGGCATCTTTGGAAAAATGTTTTAAAGATTATAAAAAGAAGAAAGAACTTTCAGAACCAGTGTTATAAACATATTCTTTTCTCTCATGGAGGTCATCTACCCACTTTAATTGTTTAGATAGTGTCATTTTAGATTCAGGAAAAATATGGTCTCAAGACCTAACCTGTTATACAGTGTTCTTGTTCTGCACAGAAGTAAGAATTGAAGAAATTTGAGTAAGGACTGAACGTTAGATTGTATGGCATTATTGTTAGTGTCTTAATTGATGGTGGTCAAGTGGCTATGTATGAGATGTCCTGTGTGTACAGGGTGTGTGCTGAAGTGTGCAGGGGGAAGAATCAAGACTCCCCTTGTCAGTTCTTTCAATTTTTCTTTTTGTTTGAAATAGAGAGATGACTTGGTGTATTATATAATATAATACAATATAATATATATGACTCGATATATATTAAAAGGAGGAGGAAAAAGTGTTAAGTTCTATTTTTTTGAGAGACTAAAGTAATAGAAGCCCTAAATACTTTTTAAAGAACTGACAAATTAATTTTCTGTCTTCTATTTTAGGCTCAAGAAAAAGGAAGATTAGACTATGCTAAGGTAGGTGGATTTTATGTATTCTTTACAGTTTTACACGTTAGTTTAGTGTTTCATTTTTGTCTATATTTCAAAGGCCAAGACAGTCATATTTAAAGCTGGGGAGGGCTGGGGATTTAGCTCAGTGGTTCCGCCGGCTGCCTTGCAAGCAGAAGGACCTGAGTTCGATCCATGGTACCAAAAAAAATAAAATAAAATAAATTTTAAAAAAATAAAGCTGGGGGGCATGTCCTGTTGAGGAACAGTCATCAGCAGGTGGAAAAACATTATTGAGCAATGAATATTTATCAGAGAGTGCCTGTTTCATTCCAGATACTGTAGTATGAGTACAACAGTGAACAAATGGAGTTTTTCCTTTCAGAACATTTATAATCTAGCAAGAGATACAGATAACTAAATAAACAACTAAGTAGATAATGTAACGTCAGGTAGAGGTAAGTTCTATGAAGAAAAATAAAATAGGGCAAGATCACTAACCATAGTTGGAAGGATGCCGGTGGCTTATAGATGCAAAACAACTTTAAATACCATTAAAGAATACCCAGTGTCTTGGCCCATATTCTGTTGCTATAACCAAATGCCTGGAAGTGGAAATTTACAAGTAAAAGACGTGTATTTGGCTCATGGTTCTGGAGGTTTGGGAGTCCAAGAATACAGTGTCAGCATCTAGTGGGGGCCTTTTTGTCACATTATAACATGCCGAGGCCATCCCATGGTGAGCATGCTAGCTGGGTCTCTTCTAATGCCATCCTTCCAGCCCACCCTCATGACTGCTTATAACCCTAACCACCTCTGAAGGGCTCTCCTCCAGATATCAGCATATGAATCAGAGGATTGAGTTTCCAGCATATGGACTTTTGGGAGACAGAGACAAACCGTAGCATTTGAGAAGCAGCATACAAAGCAGACATCACCTGTGGAACTTTTGAAAATACCCCTGCCTAGGTACCGCTGCATCATACCGCTGCATCTCCCTTGTGGGGAGACCAGGGCCGAGCAGGCTGGAGTGTTTTGAAAAATTCCCCCCAGATAATTCTGACACACAGTTCTGGTTGAAAACTGCTGCAGGATTTCATATCCCAGAGCACCAGTGTGGCCTGTGAACTTGGTTCCATCTTCCCCTCAGAGACATAAGGACAGTGTGTGGAGGTTAGCAGGTATGTGGCATGCACACCATTGCTTGGCTGAAGGAGCACACTGATTGATGCAATAGCCAGGAGTATCAAGGGTGAACATACCTGCGCTCCAAAGACAGGGAGGAGGGACCGGGGCTGTAGCTCAGCAGCACCACACCTGCCTGGCAAGTGTAAGGTCCTGAGTTCAATTTCTGGTACCAAGAAAAAAAACAAAGACAGGAAGGAAGGAGTAGGCTCTGCTTGTGGTGGGACAACCCAAGCCCACAAGACCTCTCCAGGACTCAACCGAACCTCGTATCCCAGAGCGATACAGCCATACTCCATGCCTTTACTCTCCTTGCCCAAAGTCCACCCCTCCTTTTATCTGCATCACAAATTTTTACCTTCTTCAAGAAAAAGTAGATAACAGCTTCCATATCGGTCACTCTTAGATGACATGTCTGTCTTAGCTTCCATTTCCGTCACATTGTAGATGATTGCTTGAGCCTTATCATGTACCTGAACACAGGCTGTGGACACATCCTCTTGGGCCTTCCACGGGTGTGCAGGCTCAACACATTGAAACTGAGCTCGGAACCTCCCTTGGCAACTCTTGTCTTTTTGTTGTTGTTGTCATTTCATGACTTTATTTCTTAGAGCAGTTTTAGGTTCACAGCAAAACTAAGCTGAGCAAGAAGCATAGAGTTCCCATATACCCCCTGACACCACACACACAAACACACACACACACACACACACACACACAACCTCCACTACTAACCAGATCCCACATCAGAGCAAGACCAATGAGCCCACACTGTCACTACCCTGAGTCCATTGTTTTATGGGGCGGGGGGGTCGATCTCCCCTGTTGTTTACCTCTGGTCCTTTTTATTCTCTCTCCCATTGTTGGCACTGTCCTCCTACCAGTCAGCCATGTGAGAAACTGCTCCTCCTTCCTGACCCCTAGGGGACCCTCTAGCCTCTTCTGCCCTGGCACCACATAATATAAGACACAGCATTTCTGCCTCCACTCAGACTGTCTGCTCTTCCTGGAAGGCCCTTCCTCTTATCTGCAACCCCTGCTCACTTTGTCACACTTAATTTAAGGTCACACTTCCTATAGGGAGTCCTCTGTGGTTCCCCAGGATGGATTAGGTGTTTTCCTCATTTTCTTACTTCACTGTGCATCTCTCATCATTGTACTTTCTCCTTGTTTTACAATGATCCGTTATGAGGCAGATTGGCTCCTGGGGACAGGGACAGTATTTTTTTTTTGTCTTTGTAAACCTGTGTGTAACATATTACTTGGTAATGAGTAGATAGAGGCCATGAGTAAGAAAAGAAGGTACAGGGCTGAGGATGTGGCTCAGTGGTAGGATGCTTACTTAGCATTTACAAAGTCTTGGGTTCAATCCTCATGCTACAAGAAAAAAAGTAAGTTGGGAAGAAGTGAACTGCAGGAGCAAATCTGGTACAGAGCTTTTAATCTCAGTGCAGAGAGGGAAGAAAAGTTTTTAACACACATTGCAAGTATAAACAGGGTTAAGAAGATTACTTAGATTGTTACAAACTGGTTTAAAGATAAAGGCTGGGACTTTCTGTGGTAGTTAACAAAAGCAAACATACAAACAGAAAAGGAAAGGAAAGGAGTGACTGGAACTTTGATGCTTGTTTATGACACAAAGAATGTCTAGGGCTCCTTATCACAGAAGCACTTTGACAATGGAAGAGATTTCTATTGGAAAAGGAAAAAGCAGAAAATATGGCACACAGATAAGAGCACTTCTGCACTCTGCCACCAACTCACTGCAAAATCTGATGCCAATCGCTTAGTTTCTCAGTACAAAATGAGCAGTTTAGAATAATACTCTTCTAATGTCATTATATTGTACATCTAAAATGTACCAATAAAAGGATATACCAAAAAATAATAATAATAATAATACTCTTCAGCCCATTCCAAATTTGGGAGGAGACATTCTTTTTTTCTTTTGGTACCAGGGATCAAATTCCTGACCTTGGGCTTGTGAGGCAGGCAGCTAAACCACTGAGCCAAATCCCCAGCCCTTGGAGGAGACATTCTTACCTTGTGTGGCACTGAGGTCCAGGCTCGCTCCTTTATCCACCCACCAGTATTTATTGGATGCATAATGTGTTCAAGGCACTGCTGTGTTAAAGTGACTGCCCAGAGCAAGAATACTGTGGGCCTCGCATCACAAGCCCCCTTGAGCATGGCTTTCCCATCAAGAGGAACCACTCGCCATTTGCTCTTCTTCTTAACAGTTATCAGAATTATCTACACTTACCACTTCTGTTTTGTTGCTTGTTCATTTCTTTATTCCTCCATAGAACGTAAAAACTCTAAAGGCAAGAGCCTCGGTGGCCTTGATCAATGGTTGCATCATCCTCTTCATCACAGGTTTCCCTTAGGCATGCTTCACAAAATGTGAGTGCATGTTAAGAGAAATACAGGAGGTTGTGAGAGGTCTGTGATCAACTAAAATTAGCCATCCTGAGTCTGTTAGCTATATGGTACAGTCCTTACCGGTGTGCTGAAGAATGTCTATTCTCCATTCCAATAAACAAACCCAACCTCTTTGGACATAGAGTGCTATTCTGATAGTTCAGGACATAGCACAGCTGGTCTTGATTGATTTTGGCAATGAGCCCAGCCCTTGTCATCCTTGTACAGACTTAAAGCCAGGTAACATGGGAAAAGATTACGTCCTTCCCTGCAGGGTGCAGTGTGCAGTGCCATCTGATGCTATGCATTGTGGGCTGTAGTAGCGTGACCATGCCTGACATGAGCTCTCCCCTCTCTGTTCCAAGTGACCTCTGCTCACCCTAACTAATGCTGGAATCGTGCTTGGTGGCTGAGGGTTCCTCTGATAGCATTATCTATAAAATGATATTTGAAAAACTCAGCAGCCAATTCAGGAGTCTGATGAAATTTGTTGCTGAAAATTTATTTTCAAGTGATGAGTATTTACTCGAAAGCCAAGTTTTGTCTGAAAAATCAGATTTCAGGAAATCACAGAAGTGCACCATGGCTTTATGCTATAACTTTTTTTTCTTTCTTTCTTTCTTTCTTTCCTTCTTTCTTTCGTTATTTTCTTCCTTTCTTTCATCTTGAGACAAAGTCTTGCTAAGTCACTAAGTTGCCCACACTAGGCTGGAACTTGTGATCCTCCTGCCTCAGCCTCCCAAAGTTCTAGGATTACATGCATGTGCCACCACACCCAGCTCCATTGCTAAACTTTTGTCAGTCTCAGATGTCAAGGAAGTAGGGGAGAGGGAGAAGAGGTGATCATCCCCAAATCAGTCTCAGCTGGATCTCCAGACTGTCATGTTCAGCAAAACAGTGTTCTGACTCAAACACTCACATAAGAAATGGAATTAATTTTGAGTTCCTGTTGTAATGGATAACAGGATACGAATGCTTTACACTGCTATAGTGCTCTCCCTTCTAAGCTAGCAAAGCACTTTGACAACTATTAATTCTTTAAGCCTTTCCCTTCCTCTTAAGGTAACTGACACAAGCACCCAGGTCCCTCTGCCCACTGCTGAAACCCACCCTGTTTAACCATGTGAGGCAGTTCTAGCTTCTAAGATGGGAAGACAAAGAGCATCTAACTTGCCTAGTTAAAACTGCCCAAAAAGCTTTATTAAATGGAATGTAATTACCAGAAGTGAATTTGCCCCCAAAAGCTGGTGCTGTCTTTGCTCTTGTGCACAATGCTGTAGAGACCCTAATTACAATTAATGGTCTGTGTCCAGGGTGTCCATCTCAGACTCTTCCCCAGTCTTAGGCTGCTGGCCCCATGGGTAAGCACAGCTGATGCAGCTCAGAGCTGGAGGAAAAAGTGCCACCTGTTGAATTGTAGG